TCATTTGATTTGTTTTCTTGTCCCACAAGAATATATATGGTTTCAGGGTGGGGATCTTGACCGTTTACAAGTTTTCAAAAAGAATGGGGGTGGAGGTGAACCCGGGGACTCCCCAAAAAATTTTTATTTGATTTGTTTTATTGTCCCATACAAGAATATAAATGGTTTAGGGGTGGGGATCTCGACCGTTTACAAGATAAAAGCACATTCTAAAATTGAAGGGGGGTGGGGGTAAGAATATATATGGTTTAGGTAGACTTAATTATCTACAAAATTTCTAAAAATGACCAGTAAATTTCTTACTATATTCATATAGTCCCATATAGCTTATAATCATCAGCACTTAGGAAACAGAGAATTTTCAAATAAATCTGTCACTACAATTATAAGTGTGAGATAAGACATTTATCAAATGCTTTGTCATAATCTGATAACAGGAGAAAATTATTTAAAAACACTTAGTGTAATCAAACTTCATATATATAATTAACCATTTCTGTACAAAGAGAAATAACTTAATCACATTATAAATACCACTTTTGGATATTCAAAAGGGCGATAACTCAACAAGGAGAGTTTGGCAGCCGCCCGCCCGCTCGCCCGCCCGCCATACATCAACAAATCAATAACTGATATTTCCTTCGAAAATCCAGTTAAAAATCATCATTAAAGGGCAATAACTCTAATAAGTAGTTGACAGAAGATTTTCCTTATGTTGACTTATTTGTAGATCCTGATGTGCTGATCATTTTTGCTATTAAAGATTCTATCTATCTATAATAGTTTTTAAGATATAAGGCATTAACGCAAAAAAATAGTAAAATCATCATTGAAGGGCAATGACTCTATAAATAAGTAGTTGACAGAAGATTTTCGCTATGTTGACTTATTTGTAAATCCTGTCGGGCTGATCAATTTTGCTATTAAAGATTCTATTTATCTATAATAGTTTTTAAGGTATAAGGCATTAATGCACAAAAATATTTAAATCGTCATTGAAGGGCAATGACTCTAAAAGTTAGTTGACGGAAGATTTTCGCTATGTTGACTTATTTGTAGATCCTGTTGTGCTGATCATTTTTGCTATTAAAGATTCTTTCTATCTATAATAGTTTTTAAGATAAAAGGCATTAACGCAAAAAAATAGTTAAATCGTCATTGAAGGGCAATAACTCTATTAAGTACTTGTCTTAGGATTTGGGTAATGTTGACTGATATGTAGATCTTGTCTTTTTACTATGTTGACTGATTTATAGATCTTGTCTTGTTTATCATTTTTGCTTTTTAAAATTTCTGTCTATCTATTACAATTTTCAAGATAATAAGCAAAATTTTAAAAAAATAGTAAAATTTGTGATTTAACACTACTAACTCCTATTAGACGTCATCTGACAGTATTGACATAAACGGCCAAAAGGTAGAGCTCAACATTCTGCACATTTCTGCTGTGTCAGATTTTCTCTATTCATAGCGTTTTTTGAAGTAATAGGCAAAACTTGCATTTTACCCCTATGTTCTATTTTAACCATGTCGGCCATGAGGATGACAGGCGAGGTCACTAGACACATTTAATAAACTTAATACCCTAATAAAGATTTTTGTAAAAGTTAAGGACAGAGGACAAGTGATGAGAAAAGCTCACTTGGCCTTTTGGCCAGGTGAGCTAAAAAGGAGATGTGCAATGATTACCATTGAGACAACTATCCAACAGAGTCCAAATGAAGTGGGTTTAAACAGCTTTAAGAATGCTTGCAGATACTGAAAGCTAACTCTTAATATTTATTGGCTGATAAAGGGATAATTCCTTCTAACACTCTCAAAACTTAAACAAAATTATATTAATTTTTATAAAATCTCTACATGTTTCTAGAATTCTTTCCATCATCAGGTATTGCTCAAGATCAAATGTCTTCATAGCCAAAAATATCAAAATTTTTAAAGCTTTACCCCAAAAAACCCTTAACAGAATAACCAAAACCAGGTCAACTTTCCCTGAAGGAGTTGCAACCTTAATTTTAAGTAAAAATTTATCATTTAAATCATGCATCTAATAATTTAGCAACTACAATATATCTACTGGCATAGGTAGATGGTACAAAAAACCCACTAGCAGCAAGTAGTTACCAGTGGTAGTATGGCTTTATATAATAGCTTAAGGTAGATGGGGTGTCTAAATTAAAATCCACAGAATTTTTTAATAATTTGTCAAAATGTAGTTTACATCATGCTTTTTTTCACGCTACAGATTGTGCAAAATTATCAGATTTTGTATAGATTATGCATGGAAAACACAATTTTGTGTGATAAAAAGAATACTACACCATAGAATTTTACGATCAAATATGAGAATATAGCTCTAACAATATGCTTTCAGATAAGAAAAAGAAAAAATGTGGTCACCGGACTCGTTTTCTTGCTACATAATAAAATAGGTAAATTCACAACACATTCTATTGTAAAAGTTACTTTGTCTGAGTTTTCTCTCCTTATATCTGAGTTATCTCGCCTTATGTGGCAAAGTTGAAAAAAAAATGAATCAACAAAAATATTGTTTTTTGTAAAATACAGCCGTAAATATGATAAAACACAAAATATTCTATATTAACAAGAAAAGTCTTACACATGAATTACATACTACTCTCGAAATTTGCTCATTTCATGAAAGATCTAGACCAATATAATCTGCTATTTCGAAATGCAAGATGGAGGAAGACACCCCAGCCACCTTAATAGGCTACACAGATTGGTGATATCAATATCAAATAAATTGTTGAAGCTATATATCTCAAGTTATTCATTAGAAATAAATATATCAATATCAAATAATTTGTTGAAGGCTATCTCAAGTTATTCATTAGAAAAAAGTCAACTAAAATACAGCAACAAAAGCTGTTAATAAAAACCAAGGAAAAATGAAATTAGCAGTGTTCTCCCCAGGATTTTTGGATAGCACCAGGGTAACGCGTGTGGACTTCTTGGTGAAATATTTCATGCAATCAGTTGTGTCGCGCCGCGTCTCGTCGCTTAGCTCTAGTTACTGTAGTTTTTATGTCTCTTGTTTTGTTTTAACACTGTGGTACTGTGTTATGTAGACATTGATTCAGAAAATTATTGGTAAAAAAGAAGTAAATATAAAAACAGTTTGTATACTTTAATATTTTTTTAAAATAAATAGATTATGATTCATAATAAAATATTCATCTGAATTTAAAGTAATTAAATCTTTTATAAAATCCAAAATCAATAAAAATAAAATATCATTCAAAAGAGAACAAAAATGTTCAATTTAAAAAACTTTCTAGTTTCTAGAAAAAAAGTTGTTGTATGTGAAAGGATTCCTGTCATAAGAAGATATAAAATTAACAAGAACAATTGCAAATATTGTTTTATTATTTGAACCAGTTTCTATCTTAGATTTTCTTTTTTTTTAGAAGATTTTGCCATAGATTTCATGTAAATATTAACCTTTCTTGTCTTTGGTGATATTCAAACAAAGATACAGACTTAATACTGCCCTAAAATCTAAATCTTTATTTGTCATGAACCATTTAAAAAGAATTCCTAAATCTATAAATTTATCTTTGGTCTATAGATCTATAAGTAACCATATTCAATGTCAACAACTAAGTCTCCCTATTTTCCCGCCTAAATGACAGGAAGTAGTTATAAATAGATTTAACATGTGCTTATGGATAAAATTTGCAAGATTACTTCTGTTATTCATTAATTATGGATATAGATATCCAGTTTGAAGGTACAGTCATGCATTTTTATTTATAAAATATAATAGATTGCAATTAATGGTAAATAAACTTGAATATTCTAAGTGAACTAACCGAGTCGTGATATGTACAGACAGATACTACTGCAGTTTGAAACCCGACTATCATGCAATAACTATGTCATAATTAAAGATAATATTGGCCATGGTTTAATCAGAGACATATAATATAAGAATTGGGAAATGTATAGTTGTCCATTATACGTAATGAGCCACCATTATGATGTACAAAAAAAGTACCTATCGGGTCAAGACACTGTTTGTGTACAAAGTATTTGCCGACTTGTCACAGGTCAGTGCTTGGGTGGAGAGTGAGGCCATAAAATAGTTATCTGTGATTTTAAAGTTATGAACTCTTAATTAAAACAAAAAAGAATCATGTTACAAGTGTTAATTACATCGATTAAATCCAATCAACAAGGTTAACCTCATAAGGTAAATCGATCACGTGGTGTAAACAATCTGTGTTGAACTGGTTTGAACTGGTCAAATTTCACCTGGGATTTTATACCGCACGGAAAATATTTAACAAGTCGTTTAAAACTTTACCGATTTACGATTTTTTAACTGAAAATTTTAGCACCACGGAGAAAAATTATACATCGCGGCAAGAACGATACCACCACGGTAAAAATTATACATCGCGGGCCCGCGGTTCTTTAAGGGCCTGGGGAGAACACTGATTAGTATTTGCAATAAATTCACATGGTTTTTATTTCTTGGTATTTCCCAAAATAATAAAACCTAAATAACGGACAATGTATTAAAATGATCATTAACATGATAAATTAAGTATTTATTTGGTTAACAGTTATATGAAACAAAATAAACAAAGACAATTCAATTATTTTAAAAAATACAGTCATCTGTTCAATAGAGGTTATTATCCAATTAAGATGTTAATTACCCAATTAAGATGTCATATTTGCCTTGGAATAATATTTATGACCTTTCATCTTTTAATCCTTAATTGGTTTTCTGTATGAGTCACTGGTGTCGTTTTAACAGTTACACAGTTCAGTTAAGGTTATGTAAGGTAAACAAGGTTAACATGCATGTGCAGTTGTAAATTATGGAAATATTTACTTAATGTATTTTAAATGAATGTAATCTGAATTTGTATATTCGTGTGTACTTTTTTTTGCAAAAATATACCTACCACAAATTTCCTGAAAATAAATACACTACGGAAATAAATACATATACAGTAAATACATACCTAAGTTTCTATCAAAAAGAGCTGTAGGTTTTAATTTCCAGAATCCATTAGGATTTTCTCCCCACATCTGAACAGTTAAGACAGTCAGGTTCATATATCTTGTTGAATCCAACAACCTGCCTGGAAGTATTGTAGATTTGGTTCCGTGAGGCGATGTCAGAACCCACTGTATCTGCCCAGCATGTGGATGATTTATCATGAGTTTTACTTCAACATGTTCTGTGTAACTGATTGTACACGACTTTACCTCTACAAGATGATAGTATTCCTCCACACTGAAAAATATTACCAGTAAGGTTATCTCCCCTTCATATCACTAGGACCCTTTCATCTTGGATATAATAAAATTTCTCAAAATAATTAATATTTACATCAACCGATACAGATAAAGTGGGATAAAGTGGAAAATAGATATCTCAATAAAGTGTATTTTGAACTTTTGTTTTTGTTGCTGCCATTCTAAGGGTTGACTGGGGTATAGAAATTTGTTCATGCCTTGGTCTTTTTCCAATTTACAATACAACTTTCCCAAAGTGGAGAGTTTGTTTGGCTGTGCTTGATATATAAATTTTCAGCCACTTTAGTTGGGATGGGAAGGATAAATCCAATGTATTATGATAAAGAGTGTTTACGGTTTTTCTTTATCCACCAAAAATGAAAACTAGAGGATCTAAACAGCCTGTGTTGCTCACCTAGGTCTATGAGCACAATGGACTCTCTCAAACATTGTGATCTAGAATAGTTTCATGACATAAATCTTATTTTTTTTGTTGATCTTGTATTGCTGATAATTTTTCTGTTTACAGTTTCTCTCTATTTTCTTTAGATTTTGCCAAAAACACAAATGACTAAAAAAAATATTACAATTAAGGCAATCACTACTATAAGGAGTTAGCCAATAATTTCGGCAAAATTTTACTTGTCTTGCTGATCATTTTTGCTATTTAAAGTGTCTATCTATCTTTTACAGTTTTCAAGATAGTAGGAAATAAACTGCTTCGCCGAGCGCAGAAGGATACGACGGCAGAGGTCCAACCCTGAACAGTTGGGGCAAAAATGGACACAATATTCAAGCTTGATACAGCTCTGAATTTGGATTGTAATTAAATATTTGACACATTATAGGTTTCTGACACAGAATAAATGTAGCCAAAGAACTTGAAATTGGTCATATGATTTGAATTTATATTCAATTGAAGATTTCTTGCTGTTGTGCAATACACTGTGCTGTTGCAAAATACTTAGTAAATCTGTTTTCGGACTATATACAAAGAATTAGCAAAATAAATTGTGACCCCAAATTTTTCTTTGGAAAATTGACAATTTCTTAAATCTTGAGGAAAAAAAAAATTACTCCCCCCTCCAAAAAAAATATTTGAAGAAATTTTCTTTTGTAAAATGTGGTACAATTTAAGAGACATCCATACACTTAAACACAAGTTATTGGCTGAAAACTAGAAAAATGCTTGTTTTAGACCCTTTTTGGCCCCTAATTCCTGAACGGTTTGGGCAATTACCCCCAAAATGAATCCCAACCTTCTACTTGTGGTATTGAACCTTGTGGTACAATTTCAGAGCAATCAAAATACTTATACACAAGTTAATGTCCTGAAACTAGAAAAATGCTTGTTTTGGACCCCTTTTTTGGCCCCTAATTCCTAAACGGTTGGGACCATCAAACCCAAAAACAATCCCAACCTTCCTTTTGTGGTATTGAACCTTTTGATTAAATTTCATAGAGATCCATACACTTAAACTAAAGTTATTGTCCGGAAACCAAATATCTTCAGACAATGACGACGACGTGATAGCAATATAAGACCACTAAAAATTTTGCGGTCGTATAAAAACGATATTGGTAAAAATTGTCATTAAGGAGCAAGTACTCCTACAAGGTGTCGACTGATGATTTCGGCTACTTGACTTATTTGTAGATCAAGTCTTGCTGATCATTTTTCTTCAATAATGTTTCTATCTATTTTTTTAATAGTTTTTCAGATATTATAGGCAAAAAAAAAAGATGTTAATAATCATTATCAAAGAGCAATAACTCAAGTAAGGGGTTGTCAGACGATTTCAAGACTGTTAATTTATTTGTAGATCTTGTCTTGCTGATCGTTTTTGCTTATTTAAGTTTCTATCTATCTATGATAATTTTTCAGATATTATGCAAAAACCCACAAAAATGATAAAAATTGTAGTTGGAGGGCAATAACTCCAATAAGGAGTTGTCTTATGATGTCGACCATGTGGACTTATTTGTAGATCTTGTCTTGTTGATCATTCTTCGCATATAAAGTTTCTCCCTATCTATTATAGTCTTTCAGATATTAGGCAAACATAAAAAATCATCGGTCAAATTCGTCATATAAGGGCAATAACTCATATAAGAAGTCGTCTGACAGTTTTGAAGTAAATACACAACTCATAATTTTGAACACCTTTGCTTCGTCATATTTTCTCTATTCATAGACGTTTTCAAGATAATGGATAAAACATACATTCTACCCCTATGTTCTATTTTAAGTCATGTCGGCCATGTTGGTTGACAGGAGGGGAAATCAGACACATTTATTAAACAAGATACCCTAATGATGATTTTGGCCAAGTAGATTAGAGAATAAGCTTTAGTAAAAATTAAAGACAACGGACGAGGACAATTGTTGAAGGACGCCAAGTGATGAGAAAAGCTCACTTAGTCTTTTATGCCAGATGAGCTTAAAATTGATAAATATTATCACTAAAGGGTAATAATCATACAAAGAGTTAATTGAAAATTTAAATCAGGTTGACTTATTCCTAGATCTTGTCCTGCTGATCATTTTGCATTAGAAGTTTTTGTCTATCTATTACAGTTTTCAAGATAGTAGTAAAAACACAAAACATGGTAAAATTCCTCATTCAAAGGCAATAACTCCTATTTGTGGTTGCCTGTCAATTTGGGCCATGTTCAAATAGTTGCAGATAATGTCTTGCTGATCAATTTTGCTTTCTACATTTCAGACATGGGGTCAATTACTTTTGAAAGTAATTAATTACATTCAATTACAATTACAAAATCTTCAATTAAATTACACATTACATTTGACTTTTTTTGACAATGTAATTAATTACTTTCCAATTACTTGGCAAATGTAATTAATTACTTCAATTACTTTTGAAAGGAAAATTTAGAACATGCATTTATTCTATCATATGTACATAATTATCATACATTGCTTTATAGTAATAACAAATGAGATCTACAGTGACTATTTTCAAATTCAGCCAGTATCAAAGAAGAGTAAAAGTTAAATATCTGGTGTGTTACGGGAATAAAGAAAAAACAAACATAAATCTGAAGTGCACATAATACTTTGTCTATCAGGAATCGTTAGGACTAGATGTCTGGTTTAATTTAATGCGCAAAATAATAAAAAGCCTTATTCAAAATTTGGAAAATATTAAATTTTGTTTAATTACCTATTGAAATTTTATGTTTTAATGTATTTCATTGAAAATGATACAAGAAGAGAGCCCTATAGATAAAATTTTATTTTTTTTATTTAAATCACAACTTATTATTACTATTTTTCCTAAAGAAATGACTTAGAAAGTCTGACTTTTTAAAAAATGTAATGTAGTTTTAATCACAATTAATTAATTTTAAAAAAATCATGTACCTAGAAGTATATTTATCTCTCTCTAATTGGCACCTGTTTAACATGCAAACTTAACTGTTGTAAAAACAGTCATTATATAGTTTATGATAAAACAAATAGCCAGAGGTTATATTTATTATGTTAAATCAATGTCTAACAATATCCATCTGAATATACATGTAGGTAACAAGCTTATTAAGGTATAAGACAGTGACTTACTAATGGTTTCTTTTAAACACAAATTATGGCATGTTTCTACAATATTTTTTTTTCTTTTTAATTTTTTTTCATTCATTACAAAATAAAGAATCTTCCATGGTTGTGTAATTACAGAAGGTATACTGTGTAGGCTTTGATTTGTCAGCTAACTACATTTGCTAAGGTCATGGCTTTTCATAATTTTTTGAGAAAACACAAGATTCAATCTTTCTGATCCCAAATTTCAAATGTAATTGAGTTGTAATTGAGTTGTAATTGTCAATTACAGACAATTTTGGCTTTGTAATTCATTACTTTCAATTACTTGTAATTGAAAAAAATGCTCAATTACACATTACATTCAATTACTTGAAAAATTGTAATTAATTACAGCCAATTACAATTACATATTTCAATTACCCCATGTCTGCTACATTTCTAACTATCTAATAAAGTTATCAAGATGATAGGCAATACAATTATCCGCAGGACACAGCTTGATACGACGGCAAAGGTCAAAACCCTGAACAGTTAGGGCAAGTATGGACACATCACCACAACTTCCACAATGCCCTACATGTGCGACTACCATACATTCCCTACGCAATTGGAAGTAGTACCTCTTTCCGAGTGAAGCCTTTTGGAATGGTACGGAATGTCCTGTGAGGTGTTGTCCATTTTGGAAAAGACACTGACAATTTATTATTAACTTTTACTTTCACTTTCACTTTCATTTTAACGTCGTCAAATCAATTATTGTGATGTTACGTCTTGTTAACCTTTGTAACCTCATATGCACCGCATTTTATGTACTTCAGTATTTGTTTTCTTTGTTTAAATTGTCCTGAAGACGCCACCATAAGTGGCGAAACATGTAGACCATAATAAAGATTTTCCTTACAGTAATCTACGATGTTGTTGTCTTTGTGTAGCATTATTTTCCTGTGGTTTTAAGACAACCGCAGCATACCTCCGGGTATCCATCCTGATTACTCTCTACCAGCCTATACCGTTAGGTGTTGGTTCACTCGATGCAACCGAAATCAAACAAAGTTTAATTTGGGAGCCTTTGAACCTCAATATAGATCAATTTGATAACGGCATCCAAAACACAAAGTTTAATTTGGACCCCGATTTAGACCAACTTGAAAACTGCATGTGGGCCCTAAATCATGAATCTAAATACATGCTTAGATTCAGCATATCAAAGAATCCCAAGAAATAAATTTTTTTTTATAATCAAAGTTTTGAATTTCAATAAATTTTGCACCTTTTGGACCTTATTGTGGACCAATTTGAAAACTGGGCCCAAAATCAAAAATCTAAACACATGGTTAGATTCTGCATATCAAAGAACCCCAATAATTTAATTTGTGTTGAAGTCAAACAAAGTTTAATTTTGGACCCTTTGGACCTCAATGTGGACAAATTTGAAAACAGCGACCAAAATCCATATCAAAATACCAATAAGATTCAGCATTAAAAAACCCCAAGAATTCAAGACTTTGAATGAAACCCAAATGGAAATGCTCAAGAAATAAGCAAGTAATACAAAGTATTAGAAAAGTATTGTTTTCTGCCCCTTTTGGTCCATAATTTCAAAGCTGTCAAGGCCATAACCTTCCTTTTTTTGGTATGGAGCCTTGGGGTACAATTTCATAGAGATCCTTTCACTTATACGTAAGAAATTGTCAAGAAAAAAGAAAAATGCTTGTTTTTGGCCCCTTTTTGCCCTTTGATTCCTAAACAGTTAAGACAATAACCCCCAAAATAAATCCCAACCTTCCTTTTGTGGTATGGAACCTTTTAGTACATTTTCATAGAGATCCATACACCTGTACTCAATTTATTGTCTGCAAACCATATATCTTCGGACAACGATGAGGACGACAATGACGACATCACCATTACCACTGCAAATTTTTGCTGTAGTATTAAAACCCAAGAAAAATGTACTTATTTGTAGATCTTGTCCTTATGATAAGTTTTGCTAACTGAAGTTTCTTTCTATCTATTATAGTTTTCAAGATAAAAGGCAAAAATGAAAAAATAATGTGCCAAATTTGCCATTTAAGGGCAATTACCTGTTTGACAGTAATCATTGAACAGTTCATTTCCAATTTTTTAATTCATAATAAGCATCAGCACTTAAAGATCCTACACTTTACTCACTTCATTCAGAAATATGTGTGTATTTTGAAAACAGTGAGAAATAGACATGTTAAGGGGAAATAACTTCTTTATGAGGTTTATAACAAAATATACCAGTGAATAGTACATAAATGCTCCAGAAGCTTGATTGTTACTGATACATACGCTTTACAACAAGGACTGTACATGTTTGCATTACAGCTCTCCCGTGCTGGTACTTTTTTCCAACCTTGACTCCGTTGAACAAGTGCTCCCATATCCAGCAAGCCAAATCCAAAATATGAGGAAACTAAAAAAAATATTAAAAAAGATATTTCTAAAAAATAACTATTGTTGGAAAAGTATTTTTTTACTTTTTTAAATGCTGCAAATATCAAAATAATACTGGATGAACATTCTTTGTGGGCATTTGTTTGCTTGTAGGTTTTTTTGTATCTGGGATAAAAAATTAAACACAAAAAATACTGTTGAAATCAAGATGTTTATGGGGACATTCTAAATGCAATTGTATATATTTCCAAAACTATACATTAATTGAATCAAAATATAAACATTCTTTAATGATGTGTCACAAAAGTTTGCCACATGAAATTGTTTTTATCAAAAATGATTTAATGTTATACAATTCTGTCTAGCTGTTATGCTGTTATGATTTGATAAGTTTTTGGGTTTGTTTTTATTTTTTGTGCTTTTCCCAAAGGGGGGGGGGGCAGTGATTTAGCTAGGGCTCATCATTTTCGTCATTTAGGAAACGGTTTTCGAAATGATAAAAGTTTTTCAAATCAATTTTGTCACTTAAATTTGGAGAGTGAAAAAAATATTTTCACATGAAAATACTATAATTCTACCTGTTTTTATGTTCCTGACAAGTTAATGACTCTCAGCTCATTAACTTTTACAACAGGTGTTATAAGTTGTGACTACAGGTAATCCACTTATCACCATTGGATGGGTCACTTATCCGTTATATAATAAACCTCATAATGGACCATCATTATTAGTTTTCCTAGTAAAATTGGTCAGTTGGTATTTCAATTTCATTATTTATCAAATGACCACAATTTGCAGTTCTTTATGGTAGTTTTGTTGTTTGAACAAAATTGTTTTCCTCCCAACAGTTCTCATTTTAATTTCAGTATTTCTCAAAAAATCACAATTTGAGGTATGTTTGTCTTAGTTTCGTCATATTTTACATAACTGTTCATCAAAAACTTTTGACAATTTCGATTAAAAAGATAGTACTTTAGTCAAAATGTTCAGAAATATTTTCACAAGTCAAATAGGTGCTTTCTTTACTATGTACTGTGCATGTGTGAAAGTATTTTTATCAATTAGACACCAAAACATAAAATACAAAATCATTTAGTATTAAATTAAACGAGAGAGACAAATATATTTCTTACTGAGGAACTTAATTTAAAAAATTATGATTTCCTGCCTTTTTCTTACGAACCAAGCCGTAGATGAATCTGGATTCATTCTGAATTTATTATCCTCCTGTCACTTCCCGTTTCCATTTCATTTAAAATTAAAAGAAAACAGGATCTATTCTTGATTAATTTACAATATACAGTCATTAGAATCGTTCAAACATATCCAAAAAGGATCTGTACAAATTCTTGGTTCCAAGTTTATAGAAATTAATTCTGCAAAACAATTTAAATGACTATGCAGTGAAATAGTTGTTACAAGTTCATTTATGTTGTGATTCTTGGTTTAACAAAAAGGAACCCAACTTTTGGTTGATGAAGAATGTCCCCTGAAAAAAACTGAAGTGAAATTGTGAACTAGATTTCAGGATCCTTGTTCTAATCTTCATATTTAAGCACCACATCAGTCAGGGGGCTGATGCAAAAGGAATTCGAAATAAACATGGCCTTCCTTTGAATTTACCTGATAAGTTTGCTGCATTCTTCATGAAATAGTTTCCTTGTTTAAATTCAGGCAGATCTCCCCTAGATGTTAAAACCAAAAGGTGCATCACATCACGATATGATAGATTTGGACTAAAAAATAATAAATATAAGGAGATCAACTTTCTACAAGGTGATTGGCATCTTGAATTAATAGCAGGGAACTGAAATATAAATCATACAGTAATATGAATAGCAAGTGTTGGCATGACTTAGTAAAGCCATTATTATTTTATTACCAGTTATATGTTAGACAGAAAAGTTGAATGGATAATAGGAGTAAAGGCTTCTCATTAGTAGCCTGAATTGATAAACAGACTTATTTATCTCTTTATTGCTGATGAAAAAATTACTTCTAATCAATTGAGCTTCCACTGATTTTTGTTTTGATCAATCCCCTACAGGTTCATGAAAAATGTAATTGTAGTTTCAGTGAAGATTTTGCTGATTTGACAATCTGAATCCTGATGAAACATGGATGATAACTGCCTCTCTTGACCAAGTTTTACATCTGAATGGAACCAAATGAGGTTGTTTGAAGTGGACTTTCCATACATCATGACTAAAGAGGTTTAAAGAAGATGAAAAAGTGAATGGAAATAGGTGCTACTTATACTACAATGTTTGCAATCGATTAATATTAACTGAGGATCCTTTGTAAAGGGTCTTTAAAGTTTAATCAACAATCCTTAAATTTGAAAACATTTCTCCTTTTTAGTTCTGAGAAGATTTTGGAAAATTTGCCAAACAGAACCAAACATTGCTTCTAGGGGCATTTTTAACATTTTATCTGAACTAAAAGGAAAACAAGATGTGTCCATAGGTCACCATGCTCACTCAAACTATAACATTTTCATGTTTAGTGAACTGTGGAATCTTTGTTAAAACCCTTATTGGGCACACATATTACAAAATTCACTGAATCATGTGTACTAACTTCAAGTTGATGTGACCAAAAACTACTCTAAACCAAAACTTCAGACATAATTTATAAAAGACCTTTCAATTAATATTATATCTGCTAATGGAGTTCGGTTCTAAATTTCGCCTGCTTGTTTCTTTTCTACACAATAATAAAGAAGTGCACCAAAACCCCCATGGGTATTTTCAAAAGTTGGCAGCTATGCCTTTCTAGATTTTAATGCATTCTTGGTAATATTATCAAAAGCATACACCAAAATGTTGATTGATTAATGATGTCCACATCAACTGAAATTCAACCAATAACATAATGTACAATGAAATTAACTATAATCCTTATGATTCTGAAATGTAGATAATGTAAAAGTAGAGACATTGAGGAATATTTAGGAGTCCATGAATATGAGTACAAAGAAAATCTCTTAGGATTACAAGTTGTAAGGTGCTAGTCTTTTTTAATGAATAGAAATGGTGTTTAATGAACCTGTCAGAATAATGTGTCCAGGATCATTTTAAGGCCAATAATTTGTCAAATAAAGGGATCCATTCTAAATGCAAAATTGGGCTATATTTTCCTTAAAATGACATAGATAAATGACCCAATTCATAAATGATTTGACAGATGAAATAATTGTAATCAGAAACTCCATCAAAGGATTAGATAAGATCATTGCATTGATCTAATACAGACTTACTTGGCACTGAGAGCAAGTGCTACTGCTCCTGACACCATAGGAGCTGCTGCTGAGTTCTGATTAAAATATTCTGTAGATGTATTCCCGACATCCGTTGTTACCTACAAAAAATAGTGAGTTCATATCTGCTATATATAAACAAGACAATGCCCAATTTGGCTTAGTAATGTTGAGTAATATACAATTTGAGTTTCATTACTGTTTAACCATCATCTTTTCTTGTGTGATTCAAAAAATAAGTTGTAGTTGCAATACTCTTAAATACAGGTTTCCCACTCAAATACCAAGCTTATGCAGAGGTTAAAACAAATTGTCTTCCACTGTTCAACTCTAATAATTTTTTTCCTATGGCTATTTAAACATTTGAAACTACTGAAATTGCTATCTTAAATTTCCTTCCTGATTATTTATATAACCATTCTTCATAAAAACAATATTAAATTGAGCAATTGCAAGAAAATTAAGTTATAAACACTTAAATAAATGTTTGGATGTTACAATTAAAATGTAATTAAATGCTTCGCTGAGCGCAGCCTGATACAACCGCAGAGGTCGAACCCTGAACAGTTGGGGCAAGTTTGGACACAACATTCAAGCTTGATACTGTCTGAATTTGGATTGTGATCAAATTTTGACATAATATAGGTTTCTGACACAAAATAAATGTGGTCAAAGATCTTAAAAATTTGAAATGGGACATTTAATTTACCTAGTATGGTCAGATATCCAAAATCTAACAACATGGTTAGATTCAGCATATAAAAAAACACCAAAAATTTAATTTTAGTTGAAATCAAACAAAGTTTAATTTTGGACCCTTCAAACCTTAATATGGACTTATTTGAAAACAGGGCCCAAAATAAAAAATCTAAATGCACAATATGATTCAGCATATCATAGAGCCGCAATAATTCAGTTTTTGATGAAATCAAACAAATTTTAATTTTATACCCTTTTGACCTCAATGTAGACCAATTTAAAAATGGGGCCCTATATCCAAAATAGTAATACAAGGTTAGAACCCCCAAAAATTAAAGACTTTAAATTAAACCCACTGAAATTGGTTAAAAGATTTGTATTTATTTTCAATTGAAAATTTCTTGCTATTGCGCAATACTGTGCAATTGAAGATTTCTTGCTACTACGCAATACTGTGCAATTGAAGATTTCTTGCTATTGCCCAATACTGTGCAACTGAAGATTTCTTGCTATTGCCCAAAACTGTGCTATTGCGCAATACTGTGCAATTGAAGATTTCTTGCTATTGCGCAATACTGTGCTGTTGTGCAATACTGTGCAATTGAAGATTTCTTGCTATTGCGCAATACTGTGCTGTTGTGCAATACTGTGCAATTGAAGATTTCTTGCTATTGCGCAATACTGTGCAATTGAAGATTTCTTTTTGAATCTTTTTAATAAATTTGAAATTTCAAAAATTTTGAAGAAAAAAAATATGAACCCATAAAAATAATTGGAAAAAAAATCCCCCCCAAACTTTTTTAACCCCCCCCCTCCCTCCCCCTTGGAGTAATTACTACCAAACTCAATCCCAGCCTTCCCTTTGTGGTATGGAACCTTGAAGTACAATTTTAGAGAGATCCATACACTAAAACACAAGTTATTGTCTGGAAACTAGTAAAATGTTTGTTTTGGCCCCTTTTTTGCCCCTTATTCCTAAATGTTTGGGGCAATTATCCCCAAACTCAATCCCAGCCTTTCATTTGTGATATAGAACCTTGTGGTACAATTTCAGAGAGATCCATACACTTACACACAAGTTATTGTCTGGAAACTACAAAAATGCTTGTTTTTGGCCCCTAATTTCTAAACTGTTGGTACCATAACCCCCAAAATCAATCCCAACCTTCCTTTTGTGGTATTGAACCTTCTGGTAAACTTTCATAGAGATCCATTCACTTAAACTAAAGTTATTGTTGGGAAACCAAATGTGTCTTCGGACAACGCCGACAACGACATCATAGCATTATACAAACGCAAAAATTTTTTTGCGGTAGTATAAAAACAGATCTTGAATTCATGATCAGATGAAATCTGCAACCCCCCTTTAGATCCTTATCTAATGTCATATTCTTTGATATGTTCCACTTCATCATAAAAAAACATATACTTGTGTTTTTATTTCTGATAGATGACTGGAGTTAAACTCTTCAATTCTTGTTCTGTCACTCAAATAACTCTTCATAGTACTTTTTTTAATTGTTCATATGTCGAACCATTTAGCTGACTGATTTGGCCACAAAAAAAATCATTCTTATACAGGTAAAACCAGGATATACATACACTTATTTCCTATGAAATGAAATTAAACAGACAAAAAAATAGTCGGTATAGGATTGCACATGATTGTCTGTCTATTTACATTTATATTTATGTTTGAAATAATCACATGACCAAAGGCAGTCTTAGAGGTCATTTGGACCTTTTGGACTTAGTTTTAGTATGCTATTAATCAAATATAAGAATTTGAGTTCAAATCAGTGAAAATGAATTTGACAGCTAATGTCCCTTTAATCTATGAAATCACAATCTTTACAATACTTCACAGTTACTGAAATGAGTATCAGGAATCAGTGAGGTGGACAGTAATTGTTACAACAACTATGACTGAAATTTGACTGCTATCTAATTCTTTCAGTCAAATTGAGGCTAGTGAAAAAGAAAGGTTAAACTTATTTTGACTTGTGGAAGTTTAAACATAATTTTTGCCTTATTTGTGTATGAGCTTTGAATGTTTATAATCTATATCATACATACTATTTTATGATGTTGGGCTCCACCCTTAGCAGTAAAAGCAGCTACCATCATGGCACTGCAGGGTTCTCCATTTGGAACTTTACTTAAATCATTCATAATTCCTGAAAACAATTATATACGCTGGTGTTTTTAAACACAGATGATATAAGCTACCAAAATAGCTCACCTGGCATAACATAGATTCATAGTATAATCTGTGTTGACTTGTCTTGTAGATCGAGGAATCTTTGAAAAGACACTTAGTAGATATTTTTTTAGCATTTGGTTCAAAGTGGTTCTGCTGGTTCAAAGCTTAAGAATATTTGGGTGTTTAAACATGACAATTTGAATGATTTACAGTGGTCAATCATAGCAATTTTTTAATCTCAAATCCCATGGATGATTTCAGGTATATTATGTTAACTTGAATTAATGGATTCATTAAAACAGACATACTTTTATGGTTTTTTTTCATAAGAGATATGTAAACAAGAATTGTTCATAAAAGTTGGACACTTTATATACATGCATAGCTCACAAGGTATCCAGCTTCATGCACATACAATATATAACTATAACACCCTATGTACTCTATCAAAATTCATGTATCAGTATAGCTATCTTATCATAAATCTAATGCAGATTAAATTAATCATAAAATAAATGAAAAATGTGTCCATGGGACACATATGCTGCCCCTGCTTGCATATAACTTTATAAAGGGACATAACTAGAGAACTGTAAAAGTGACACCACCCAAATTCGAACATTTTTTTGTTAAATGAAAATTTTATATTATGGATGGTTGAGGTTTGAAAAAATTGCCTCCTATCCACATCAGCCTATGTGTTTAAATCTGGTACAACCCTTTGTTAAAAGTTTAACATGTGGACTTTGCATGCAAAATCTTATAAAAATCTATTGCATCATACATTTACTGTGGTTTTATTTTTATCTGATCACCAATGAGAATCCTTCATATTTGATATGATTTCCTTAAAATTTTGATGGATGTAGCTGCTTATTATATACTGATTATCTGGTACCTATGAAAAACTTAAGTATATACCTGCTACTGAAATTACATATCTATTGGTAACCAGTCTGTCATAAGCACAGCTGTCATGACTTAGTTCTGTTACATCACCACTGTTTCCTGTAGCAAAAACATAAACAGATCCAAGACCTCCTCTGCCCTGAAAGTTCAATAAATCTAGTAAATTACAGAAAAGATAATTATAGCATAACTACACACAGTTAAAAAAGCAAAAAACACGGAGGATAACTATGTATAAGACAAGAAATGTACTTTAAAGTTCTCGACATTTTACCTTTGAACCAACTTTAAGGAGTGAAAATATGCAAAATTATAATATGACGTTCTTCAAACCCTTAAAGTACACACCTGCGGTAAAATACGAATACATTGTATGTCTGCTGATTGGCGTAATGATTTGTTTTGGCAGTTTCATACATAAACAAACAACTGGATGTGCTAATAAATTGTTAAACGCCAGTTTTCATATTTAAAATAAAAGTAAGACTTATTAAATTTGTTCAATAATAAAGTAATCAATTAATCAATTATACAAATAAAATAGATATAGGCCTAAAATATTTATTTGTGGTTTGTATTCACAAATACTTGTTGCATGATAAAAATCCAACCTTCTTCATTGGCCCACAGTGCCATATTAATGGAAGAAAGATCAATTCCTTCTTTTCCAACACAGTAATTACATTTTCATAATCATTTAACTTGATCCTAACCTGTCTTAGTATGTTTAGAATGTCACTAATTCAGTTTTCTTCGTCGTTTATGACAATATTAATATGTGTTCAATTACGGGAAGAGCAAATGCCTTCTCCTATAGTGCTTGGATAATTCATGGAATTCTTGAATTGATATTGATTTTACCACAGGTTAGTCCTTTATGCCTAAAATACCAGAAAAGTAATACCTATATGAAATTCATTGAAGGGGAGATAATTACCTGAGTAGTTCCCCTTATGAATGCATCCTCTTGATTCTTCTCTAATTTGTATGTTTTAGTGCCAGTATGGAAATTAGCGAAACTGCAGGAGTAAACCTGAATACTATCCATATGATGATAGAATGCTGCCACATCAAACGTGTCCCATACAGCTGTAGAAGCTATCTTTATATCTAAAAAGGAGAAAATTAATTAAATACAGTCAAAATTATATTAAAGGTGAACTTTGAGACCAGATAAAACCGATATTTTAAGAGAAGTGACCTTTCAGTTAAGGTTCAAAATACATTGGTATTCCTACAGCAGGATGAGGGTATCATGACAGGACAAGTTTTCTCTAAATACAGGTGACCTTTATAGCAGGTTTCACTGTACCTGTAAATTATACTTCTTTACTGATCTACAAGATAAATACATGTCTTTTGAAAATGTAGCTTAAAAAAGATGAACTAACAGTCATGGTGGTTTTGTTGTTCCATGCCCACCTGGATTGCAGACAAGGCTTCCAAAACGGTCATATATTCCAGATATTATACAAATGTCCGGTGAAAGTCCGGCTGGGCAAAGCATGAAACGGTCATCTACTTTTTAGTTTTCAAGGCTTTCTTAAACGGATAGTAGCTACGATTTTCATTAAAATTATTTTTCTAATCTATATGCCGGATTTTGTACAAAAGGTTTATTTAGAATGAATAAAACCATCACTGAGACGGTCATTTTAACATAATTCACGATCTTTTTGACCCAACCTTTTGCCTTTAACAGCCACACATTTCCGGTCATAAAAGTGGCTTGATCATTAAGTACTATCAAAACAACCCCTACTTTAATGCCTTCTCATTTTAATCACGGCTAATTAGTTGTCGAACAGCTGAAATTTACCTGTTCAGGTGACAGGTAAACTATTTTGAACCGGACATTGATCGGTCTATTCAAAGTTATTTTCTAACATTTCAGCCGTTTGCATCTAATTACATGAATTATTTTAGTCAAAAAGATTTAAATTATCAGAAATATGTTTATAAATATGATTTGATGAAAAAATTAAAAAGGTGAAAATGAAAAATCTTCATAACCACGTTGTTTGAACCAGAGACATGTCTCTGTTTCAACTAGTACACGTGTGCGCATGATCGGAGGTGTGAAATTTAATTATGCATCCTAATTTCTTCAAAAAATGCTTAAATTGTCATTGATACCTTTATCTCACGTTTATTTCGAACATTTTCTTGAAGAAATAACGTAGAAAGAGCTACTTACACTCATTCATGCTTTGCAAACGTACACGGAATTTACGTATCCTTCTCTGGTCCATGTTTTACCATTGTCAAGATAACATCCGGTATTAGATTTAAAAACGAAAGTAAAGTTTTTGACAACGTTATTTTGCACAAATAAAGAGTCTAAGGCAGATATAAGTACGCTGATGTTGCACACTTCGAATGATGCACTGCCAATATAACAGTTTACGTCAGAACTTCGAATTTGAATCAAAGAAAGTTTAAAATCGTTTTCTTTTAATGTCAATCATTGGGATGGTCAACTCGGCAACTGATTACCATAATTGCCTTTTGTTTATTTTGCCTTAAGGGATTAAAATCGGGATAATATATAAAATGTCCAGCTGGCTAAAAATAATTTTAGAAGCCCTGATTGCAGAGTGTAGATCCTATAAATTTGGTATTTCTTTGCATCTCTGTCACAGCATTAAGAACTAAGAGCAATAAACTGTTGACACAGAGATATGTCCTACCTATCTGCATAAAATTCAGAAAAAGACAATCTGATGGACAGCACCATTGCTTATTAATTCAGTCCCTGGACCATGATCAGGTCCTGAAAATGGTTGACAAACTGAGACTTTCATTTAGTTATGTAACTTAATAGAAAATTTCATTGTTTATTGTAAGTAGTTCCAATCAATATATAACTTAAGCAGAAAAACTTAACATTGAAAATTGCTAATTAATTAAAAGTCACTGGACCATGTACTAGGGGTCAGGGCCTCAAAATAGTCTTCCTCTTGATATGTACTGATAGTAATGCAACTTTATACAAAATATCATTGATCTATCACAAGTAGTTCTTATCAAACTAACTTCAGCAGAAAATTTAACAATTGTTGACACTTGAGCCATCACCTTCATCGCGTGAAAAGCAATCCTTATGTTTCACTTTCCATTGTTGCAGGCGAGACAAAAACTGGTTAGAATGAGTACTGGTAAGAATGACACATGGTATTCATTTTTCTAGAGACCAACATACAACTGACATAATTCAGACATATTATGTTGGTGTAGTACAAAGGATAGTAATATTAAGGGGTCTATTTTTGTGAGGTTAAATTTCACGATTTCTGGTGCAAAGCCTGTTAAGGAAGGTCTATTTTTGAGATATTTATCATTTTATAATAATGCCTAAATTCATGAAAAGTAATCCACGTACTAAAATTTGCAGTTGACAGCATACTGGTAACAAAATGATTTATCCTTAATAATGCATATTAAATTGTGCACAGAGCTCACCTATTTATACCACTGCTCCCCATTTGCATAGAAAAGTTAATCTATCTTTTAAAATGAGAACCCCCCAAAAAAAAAATCAACTTGATATAATTTTGTACTAGGAGGTGCACAAAATCTCATTAGATACTAAGGACTATAATTTCATTGAAATCTAATGTCCTGTTTAGGAGGAGTAACCTTAGAACAATGCAACAGATGAACAAACAAACAAACAAAACAGACACAATAGTCCCTATATACCCCAGGTTCAGTAAGCAGGGCTATAATAAAGGGGTAAAAAAATCTCTCAACATATGCTTCTTTAAAAGGGTACCTGCTATTTCAGACCCAAACGCAATCCCAATTGTAAAATTTTTATTCTTCAGAGCTCCTATAACACCAGCTACCCTAGTACCATGTCTGCAAAAAAAAAAAAAGATTTAACAGTAATGATTATCAAGGCAATTGAGGTGCAATCACTATCTAAAATTTTCACTTACAACTGTATACTTTTCAGTTATTTTAAAAACCTATGTTTATCTTTGTTTGATACAAATGTAGCCTTTCATGTTGTGTTTAAGCCTATATTTAATAACATCCACCTCATTTTGTCTCTGGTGGAGAGTTGTCTCATCGCCAATCATACCAAATCTTATTTTTATATTACTTACAGCATAATACAACCATAGCATGCTTTAACTGGTACTTTCTAGGGTCAATTGAGTTAGGAAAATTGCAAAATACATATTACACATTTTCTTAGGTTTACTTAATGTAAGATATACCTAAAATATTTATTGCTAAATTTCCCTGGAGTATTTTTTAAGTTGCTATCTAAGATCTATGTTATTTTCTGTAGAAAGGACAAGGATAGGTTCCTTTAAGCATTTTTTACCATCAATGTATTTTCTTATGCTAACAAATAAGTGTATGCTTTTGTGTACCATTAAATCCATTGAACTTTAATTTGCATCCTCAAATAGATTACAAGAGTGGACATGCTTATATATCCAACCTGTCTTAACAACTATAACAGCTGTTTAGTTGAAAGTCTCTCATAATCAAGGTTTTTATACATATTGATCACAAAAACTTAAATTTGATCAACAATCCATGCAAATAAGTTCGAGGAAATAAGAGCCCTGTCAGATGGAAATGAAAACATTTATACAATGATTCTATACAACAAATATAGAAACCTATAACTTGTAGTAACTTAGAATCTGATATAATCATAAAAAGTAAACATGTAAAAGTTTATCAATGAACCATGAAAAGTAAACATGTAAAAGTTTATCAATGAACCATGAAAAGCAAACATGTAAAAGTTTATCAATGAACCATGACAAGTAAACATGTAAAAGTTTATCAATGAACCATGAAAAGCAAACATGTAAAAGTTTATCAATGAACCATGAAAAGTAAACATGTAAAAGTTTATCAATGAACCATGAAAAGTAAACATGTAAAAGTTTATCAATGAACCATGAAAAGTAAACATGTAAAAGTTTATCAATGAACCATGACAAGTAAACATGTAAAAGTTTATCAATGAACCATGAAAAAGCAAACATGTAAAAGTTTATCAATGAACCATGAAAAGTAAACATGTAAAAGTTTATCAATGAACTATGAAAATGAGGACCAGGTCAAGAAGAATCTGTCAGATTAACAGTATAGTCCAAATAATTGCTCCATAGATTATATACTGTTGACCTATAACTTATAGTAACTCTGATAACAACCTAATCATGAAAACTTAACTGGAAGGAAATGAATATCCTAGCCTGTTAAGAGCAGAAAATAAATAATTTTGCCCAAGACAGGATAATAATAATTATCTTACCATCTTTACATTTCTAGGAATATCATTGGTTAAAAGCAACCTTGTGGAGACCCTATATATTTAATATGGGGTTAGTAGGCGTGGTTTATTTTAATACCTGGTTAGAAGTTGTGTTTCATCCCTTTATAAAAACAACACGGTGTTGTGGAAAAATCTGAAATGTTTCACCCTGACAACAGACAAAGAAATTGATGATGAACGATTGAAATAAATGCAGAAAACGCATTAAAAGCTAACAAGTTGTTATTGTTGGCATTAGTTTTTGTATAGACCTATGAAAGTAAGTTCTTTGTATTGAAGACTTGATCACTTTGATAGGCCATTATTCTAAATGCCACATTTTAAGATAGTCAGTATGAGAAATTGTTACACAGTGTACTACAATGCAGTAGCAAGTTAGCAATAGATAAGAATTAATAGTAAATCTGAAAAATATCCTCATCCCCCTTGCAAAATATCAATTAGTTGTTCTCTAAATGTATAACGACTGTATCTGGCTACTCACTGAAATGATGCAACTGTTCCTCCATCAACATCACTAAAATCAAATCTTCTATTCTGCAATTATAAAATTAAAATAACTGTAAAATACTCACATAATTAACGCTTTCTGAACTTTTTCCAAGTTCATAAAATACAAAATATCTTATTTCACAAAAAATATAAAATATTATATCATGACCAATATATAAATATTAATGGAACCAAAAATGTCTTCAGTAAGATGGTTAGGACATTATTTGGACTCTGTTGATTAGTTGTCTCATTGGCAATCCTACCATATCTCCTTATTTTATATCAATCTGTATTAACTAAGTCTGTTAATAATTAATAATATTTGCCTTTAAAAACCATTACCTTCTTTGACTGAATAACACTGTGAATATATGTATTATAACATTTTGTAAAGCATCTTTAGAACTGATTATGTAAGTGATTATTTAATGAAATATGAGGTATTGACCAATGAGAAAGAAAGCATATGACACAAAATAACAAAGTTATCTGGAGGGTAACAATAACATTCAATAACTTCAAAAAAAGAATAGTGTCTAATATAATATGTCAAGCTCTAAATCGTCCTGAGTCTAAAAAAGTTTTTTTTAACAGAAACCATCATGGTTAAACTCTCCAACTTACAAAAAAAATCAAGACATGACATATAAGACAGCCACTGTATGTGACCATGTAAAACTTACAATTTCCAAATCAATATGATTTTGAACACCTTTGTCCACCACGCCAACTGTAACACCAGTACCATTAATACAACTTCTCCATGCAGGTAGAACATTCATGTCATACTTGTCTCCCACTGATTTGTTCTAAAATAATATGAAGTATCATAATTGTAGACTTATGATTTAGGAATTGTGGTTAGATTATTTATAATGTAGCAAGGAAGGATGACATCAATGATACTACCATGACTAATTTAAAATGTTATAATATTATATATATTCACTGATAAAATATTCCTTATGAACCAAGTTTAAGATGCAGGCAATGATAGGATCAAAATATTATTTAAACTCTAAAGTTACGCATTAGACAAACAACTAGTCTCTAAAGAAAGCCTATATCACTTACATTGTATTTATCATTAAAAGTACCAGTAATGAAAAATTAGGTTCTCAAGAGGCATGTTTATCAAGCTTGATGATTCAAATTTGGTTTAAAATGGACTAATTTTTTAAGATGTGAAAGTTGTTCCATGAACTATGAAACACAAAATCCAATTCTGTTGAAATAAAGTATAATAATTCTGAAATTTCATAAAATGAAAAATTTCTTTCGATCAAAGTTCAACCTTTTTTAATCAATAATAATTGATAATCTTTTACGTTGTTTTGTCTTTTTATTCCATTTACCTAATGTTCCAAATCTTTAAGTGTTTCTTATTGCACTTGTGGTCCAAGTTTCTATATTTAGCAACAGAGGTGGCCATGTTTGATGGCAGTTGATTTGTCTATTACACAAAGTGTAATGCTATTTGGTCTTTCACATGATTTTTCACCATTCGATTATAGATTGTTTGTCTTAAGGAGGAGGTATTTTAACATGGTTTAGAGCCATGTTTTTTGCTTTTGAAATTGCAAAAATAGCGAAATGATTCAAACTTTTTAAAAATTACGTTAATTTTTACATAAATGACTGATTGATATAATCTGGATTCTTTAGTGCAAAAAAGCTAGTTGTGATGGCACTTTGACATCATAAACATGTTAAAATTTACCTATTTAACCAAAAATGGCCATTTCATGCAGATTTTTGGCATAATATATATGAGCGACAGTTTTACCCAAAAAGATATTCTACAGACATTTTATATCTCTGTCAGCAAAGATCTGAAATTTTTTTTCACACAATGTTGGTAATTTTTGAGCAACTTGAAAGTTGTGGTCCTTTTTTCAAACTGTCAAGTTTCATCAAAAACATTAAAGCCATAAATGAACTGGTATTGACGGTTTCACAGCATTTTCATTGTGAAATTTCTTGCCGTTTTTGAAAAATTATTTATGGAATGCCAAACTTTATAAAGATGAAATGATTTTAATGACCATAAACTGTAGATTTCTCAGGAATGTATCACCCTAATTTCAAATTTGAGAAATAAAATAAAAACCTAAACTTTCAATATGAACATAAATTATGAATGATTCCTAATTCATCTACCGAGTTTGTCTTGTGTATCAAATGTCAGGATATCACCCTATTTTTAAATTGATTACCAGTAAGAGAATTTGAATATGACTGATAAAAGTTTCTATCATTTAATTTGGTAGAAATTATTTTCATTGCACCATTAAGTGTCTTATCTGGAGAGGCATTTGTATGCATATATATTATCAGATTATCTAACAATACCAGAGTGAAAGGTCTTTACACAAAATGTAACCAAGAAAAATTAGAACATAATGGCAATTAAAAAACACAATCTCAATTAACATGATTAAATATAATGAATGAAATTATTTCTTTACAATTTTTTTCATGACCTAAATCCAAGATACATTTTAAAAGGTCATTGGCCTTTCAGGTTTAGTCTGGCAAATATTACCTTTGTTTGTTAGATACATTTTTGTAGCAAAACATCTTTTTGGGTAAAGCTTTAGCTCATAACTTAAAATGAATAATGATTAATGACAATATCTCAAAATGAGGCTATTTTAGCAGTTTTTTGTTTTGCAATAAACATAAGCAGTTTCAATCTCTAATGCCGAAATTCAAAATTTAAACACTGATGTCTGAAGACTAATGTCTTATAATCATCTGAATGATGTTCTTTTTTTTTTCAAATTCAAGGGGCCATCAATGTGACCTTATCATACCTTCTCCTTTTCATTTTAAGAAACAGTCAAGGCAATGACAAATTTTCAGAACATTTTTCAATAAATTTGATCCTGCTATAAATATAGTATGTCCGAAATGCTCTCAGAAACAACACATAACTCCTGCTTACTCTGTACTACTTACCAGATACCACTGTAAGGGCCATAACTCATCTTCAATTCTTATATCACAGTTCTGTGATTCTACAAGCTAGTGAACAAAACAAAAGAAGAATCAATCATAATTGTATTCATTTAACACGCTTAATTAACCATATTTAAACAGGTTTTCTTCAAATTGTTTCTAAATGGATTAAGGTTAAATATGTATAACCTTGATGCTGACTGGATGTTGGAATTTCATGAATCAACAGTTTCCATTTATGTATGTAGAGAGTATTTGATGACCTGAAGAATATTATTCTAACATTGGTAAAAGTGCCAGATAATGCTATGTCAAACATCTTAAGGAAAGATTCAATGGATTTTGTGATAGTAACCAGATGTCTGAGATGCTTCTCACAAAATTATATGATTCCAATTTCTGTGTAAACAACACAATATGTTTTTAGAAGTCATCTTCCTTTGATGTTGTTTGATTTTCCCTATTTAATTTGAAAGTTGGAATAAGGAATAAGTTTCTCAAGAATTCCTCTTCTGTTTACCTGGTACCTGTGCATAACACTATTATTAAACTTAATATCAGTACCAGTAAAAACATGCAAAATTGAGTTTCAGGCAGCAAGTTTATTATTAAACACAATTTTGAAACAGGACATTCCTAAAGGTTAAAACTAGCCTTATTGAAACTTTACATAGATGTAAATGAACAGTTCCATGAAGTGTTATATAAACACCATGTTCAAGTATGTGTGACGACCATTTTGAATGTGTGGAAAAATTATAAAATTGAATGTATATTTGAAAATTAGTCATTTAAGCTACATTCCCTCAAAATTGGTTTAAATAATTGCTATATATTATCTACTTATAGTTTTAATTGCTCCCTTGGTATTTTTTTCTAACAAGAACGTTTTCAATATTATTTTTTTAATGATTTATTGATAAAAATGGTCAATAAACTTAGTTGGCCATTCTGAAACATGACCTTTAAATAACAGATTCCATTCTAGGGTGCACTGAACATGAAATTATAGGAAATTTAACATTATTTTGAAACTAGATTCTAAATGAAAAATCTTTTTAGCATTTTGGCAAGATGACCTGGAAGTTTGTGTGGGATAACTTTTAAATTATTAAAGTAATCTATAATTCTGATTAGCTGAAAACAATGGATATCATTTTTCCATGGTATTTCTTAGCAATGTTAGCACAAAACATTCTGTAATCTTTTTCAAACACCATTTTCTTTCTTAACATCCATATTTTGCTATTTTAGTGAAAAAATTACTTTAGCTCAAAGGCTCAAACACGTGTCAAATATAAATATGGTAAAGGTCTTAAAATGTTATCATGCAAGTTTAAGCATTTATTTCAAAAGCCTAAACATCAGAATATTTTTGTATCTGTTAAACTGAATATATGTGCAATGTAAAAAAAATTCTTATTGATCTGAATGAAGATATAACTTTCTGTCACATAAAATTAAGAATGGAAATGGGGAATATGTCAAAGAGACAACAACCCAACCAAAGAGCAGACAACAGCCGAAGGCCACCAATGGATCTGACTTTTCTGAGACACACAGTGTCATTAGAAAATGTCTACTGGCAGATTCCATATGAAAAAGGGAAATGTCTGTCAAAATGAAAGAATAAATGAAAATAGTAATAATAATGATAATTGTTATTTGAATTATTATTTGAAGGATAATCTGTAAATGTTTAAATGAATAAGAACATTAAATGAGATTATAAAAATAATTATTGGATATGATTGTTTCCACTTATTCTTGTAGTTTGTTTTTATGTTGTATTGTTGCACTACTGTCCCAGGTTAGGTGGGGGGCAGGGGTTTGGTGCCTGCAAATATGTTTAACCTGTCACATTTAGTATGTGCATGTCCCAAGTCAGGAGCCTGTAATTTAGTGGCTGTTGTTAGTTGCTCTATATTGTATTTGTTTTTTGTTTATTGTTTTGTACATAAATCAGGCTGTTAGTTTTCTTGTTTGAATTGTTTCACATTTGTCATTTCAGGGCCTTACTATGTGGTACAGGTTTTGCTCATTGTTGAAGTGACCTACAGTTGTTAACCTCGTTATTTGGTCTCTGGTGGAGAGTTGTCTCATTGGCAATCATCCCACATCTTCTTATTTTTATATTTATTTATATTAGTATAAAATGTATTCCAAAATAGAAGTTCATTGGTGTTTATTCATGCCAATTATGCTTATGGGAGTTTTTGCTAAATCATACGGAAGCTGCCAACTGCAAAAAATAATTCTGAACGGCATTGTACAGGAAACCCCTAAAATCAGTCAGATCAAAATCTCACTTACCTGACACAGCTGTATGAATATCCTGAAAATAGAGTAAATAGTTATTAAATTTTGTTAATACATGTATTGCAATTGGAAACAAACTTTCTATAAACATATGTTTAAGAGAAAGAGCTTTAATGAATTATAATAATAGTAATAAACTCAGAAATTAATGTAAAATCAAGTTTTGTGGAGAAAAATATATATATATGCTAGGGCGTGTTTTTTTGTTCTTCGGTAGCTATATATATAGTGAGCCAGAAGAGGTCCATTTCTGTTTTTTTGCATAGGGAAGATCTTCTAGCTCTCTTCCACCTCTTCTTTTTTGATAGGTAGTTTAGACGGCAGAGGCACATAACAAACATGGCGTCGTTTAGTCTAAATGACATTATTAAATTTATGAATGCAGATATATTAGAATGTGAGCTGTGTTATAAATGTTTTTATGGTATGACAGTCTTAGTAGGACATCCCTGTAGGACGATAAGCTGGATAAATATAAGAACTACACGGACAATAACAGTTAAGGGACGACTATTGTCTACAATGTCCCAAGTCAGGGAAGGGATTTTGATTGATTGGTGTTTAACGCTTCTTTCAACAATAAGTTGGGCTATTCCGTGGTGGTCAGTTTAAATTTATAGATGAAGGATGGGGAAGGGAAGAGGGCATTATTAACTTTTTTAATCTGTCGCTAATTATGCCTATTTTTCAGCTCTTACCGGCCAACCATATTCATATATGAAATCCTCCTGCCCCCACCCCAATAAATGAATGAATATCAAATGGTTTTTCTTATTATTAAACACAAGTTTAAATTGATTGATTGTTTGTTGCTAATTTTTTAACGCCCAGTGACAAATATGTCATGCATGTTCAGGACTCGGTTCAGGAAACACGAGTTTAATAGTCAGGTAAATAAATAAAAACGAAGAATTGTATGATTGATAAATGATGAGGCAACTATCCACCGGAGTTCAAATATGAAGTGGATGTAAGCAATTATAGGTAACCGTAATTAAGGCCTTCAACAATGACAAAACCCGATACTGTCAAAATGCCCGACGTGAAAAGTGTGAGAAACAATTCAAACGAAAAAACTTACGGTCTAATTATACATAACAAAATAATTTACAAAATATCAAATATGAGTCGAGACATGAACCAACGACAACAACTAAACTACAGGCTCCTGACTTGGGACAGGCACACAAAAAATATGGCAGGGTTGATATAAAAACGAAGATTGCAATGAGAAAACCCTCCACAAGAGACCAAATGACACAGCAATTAACAGCTATAAGTCACCGTACGGCCTTCAACAATAAGCAAAGCCCATACCGCATAGTCAGCTATAAAAGGCCCCGAAATGACAAATGTAAAACAATTCAAACGAGAAAACTAACTACAAAAAAATGAACGAAAAACAATTATGTAACACAGCAACAAACGACAACCACTGAACTACAGGCTCTTAAATTGGGACAGGCACATACATACAGAATGTGGCGGTGTTAAACATGTTAGCGGGTTCCGGCCCAACCAGCCCCCTAACCTGGGACAGTGGTGTAACAGTACAATAACATGTTTGTGAGCGCTCAACCCTCAATTAGATTAACTCAAAAGATCGGTACGAGACACACAAAAAAAAAACTTACATTAAGACAATAGACACAAAGCACCGAAATAACAGTACTAGTATTTGCAATTACTGGAAGTTTGTTCAAAGCTTATTACAACTATAGTACTGAAATAAATCTTGTTCTCCCAGACTGAAGTATCAATCAGTACACAACCAACGGATTTATTAAAAAAAAAAGAGGAAAAAACAGTCTGAGAAATGTCTGGTATACATTGTATACTTGCATATAGATCCATATACAATGAAAAAGTTTTGAAAAGTGGTGGTCCGAAGGTTTTGACCATCGAAATTATGCAATAGAAATAATAGTAAGGACCAGAAGATTTTCTTCAAGGACCACCAGAGAAAAATGATTTTGAGAACTTTCAGATATCTTTGCTTTAGACAAAAATAATCCAGTTTGGTTACTTTAAAAAAAAAATGGATAGACAAGATGTCCTTTTTGATTGTAATCGAGACAAACATTGACGAATTTTTGTGCAGTTTAAGATTATTCTTAAAAATCAGATAGTGGGGGTTTACGCCTGATTTGTCTAGCAAAATTGAGTTAGAGGAAAGAACAAAGAAAAGTGTCACGAACAGAGCACACTTTTACAGTCATGTCTACCTAAGACTATTATCCGATCAGATTATACGTTAGTTTACTGAATAGACCCAGTGTCTACCGGACGTATCTTAATTTTCTATAAAATCATCGTAAACTTCATTTAATATGTCATCCAACATAACAAAAATCTGCTTTATTCGACGGCAAATTGAATTTTTGTTTTATTGATCTTCTGTAGTATATCTCCAGAAGAGGTCCAGATTCATTTTTTTGGACTCTTCAACAGAAGACATTCTGGAGATGTGCAGAAGAGACTAATAAAACACGCCCCTGATGTAGTTAACTCACAGTTAACACATATACCGGTACCATTAAGTTACAGAAGTTGAGGTTGTTTAATGTTATAGACAGTAAATAGTTAAATACTGTAAGTAGGCTCCTGCTGTAGGATGTATTTTCATTTGTTTATTTCAATGTATGTATGGAGCCTAAATGAAAAAAGCGAAACTTAAAAGTTCAGATTTTTTTTATGTGTTTTGAAAAACCCTGTGGCAGAACACTTTTATTCAATTTTTTAACCTTTGTGTGCATGGTGTGAATGAAAGGAGATTTGGGTTTATGGCAATGAGACAGCAACCCAACAAAACTGAAATGACAAGATATTTGACAAGTAATTTGTTAATCTTTTATAGAAATAAATATGCCTGATGGAAGTAAAGGAGATCACACAAGTATTATATTGTCATTATAATACCTTTATGGGGCCATCAATCTGCAGGACTTTTCATTCAATAATGTACAAATGTATAAGGCTGGTTTTCTCCCTTGCAACATATGGGTATTAGAGCCAAACAGATAAAGGACAGGGAACAAGTTTACAAATGTATCAGATTTCTTTAAAAAAAAAACAAGCTATTTCAACTGTGAAAGAATTGGTTATAGTTTATGAACTTACATATAATAAATACAAAGATAAACAGCTGCAAACTGATTCTTGTTGTCTGGGGAAAATAGGACCATTATGCAGTTCAAACACCAGATTAGATCATATGCTGCTTTAGGCTTGTAATACCTTCTCTTTTAGGACTAATTGTTACATTATTGCACCTGGAAGAAGAAAAAAAATAATCTTATCAAATGTCACCATTTTACTAAGATTACAATTAGAAATGTGACTAAAAAGTAGTGGTTTAAATACAAGTTGGCTTCTTTTCATAACTCTGACTGAATAAAGGTACATTTTTCTCAGCTATAAACATTGGGCTCATCATGTCAGGCCTCTTTAAAGCAGAGTTCATATTCATATTCATATCACATCAAACATTTTGTCAAAATGTTCTTGTCCTCGATATGCATGTGATATTTGCCACAGGATATAAAATACCAATCAACTTCTGAAATCATGAAAACTAAGATTGCAACCATCAGGGGTAATATTTATACAATTCGTGTTTGTTAACTTGAAGATGTAAGTAATTTTTACTTGTAGAAATAAATTTGTATGTTTTTAATTTGCATTTCAAGATTTGAATAATCTCCCCTTAATCTTCTTAAAAAAAAATTACTTATACAAGTAATATTTTTACAACCCCTTAAATTCTCAAGTTTTTGGAGGTCAAAACATGCCTTCACAGTTTTTTTTCTGATTTGCTAATTATTTTTAATGAGAGTTCAACCTTTTATCTCAAGAGCTAAACAAAGAAATCTGCTGCCCACAGATGATAAGCCTTCAAAAATTGCTCCCTGGAGACTTATAAATGAGCAGTGTTTTAAAGAGATGTTCATGGTCTATGAAATTAAACATTTATGAAAAGTAAAGACAACTTTAAATGACAGACAATTAAACACTCAAATACAGCAATGTTGTCAAAAGAAATTCAAGAAAAGAATAAAATATTGCATTTTACTTACTAAGTAAAAAAATTTGAATGTCTGAGGGATTTAACTCTACCTCCAAATAATTAACCTTTACTTGTAAATAAAAAAACTTTATGACATGTATATATACATTATATAGTCTATGCAAAATATGTCAAAAAACCAAAATAGTTTTATCTACCAACTATTCCAAATGGGCATAACTCCTGTAAAAATAATTGGTTGGCACTGTTCCAGGATGATGACGGAGGATGACTGTTTTATGTTCAGTGGCAAATTAAATGCATATCTTCGGGAAGAGACCATGTTAATACATGTATAATATGAATATATCAACTTTGTACTAGACTGACAAGCTGAGCCCGAATTTTATCACGCTAGTTCACAAGGTAACAGTCAGCAGGAACACATGTCATCCTTAACCTGGACACATTATGTTGACTCTGAGCCAACCAGTCTTTGCTCTTACTTCTTAGTGGCCCATGCTATGCAGAGAAGCAGCAAATACCAATTTTAAAGTCTTTGGTTTGACCCAGTAGGGGTTTGAACCCATGACATACTGCACACCATGCACACAAGGCTAACAAGCTACAACAAGACCACAAAGAAGGTTACACTGTTCCAAGATCTTGCTGGTATAGAACTTTAGTATAGATTTCATTCAAATCTGACACAAAATGAAGGTGTAAGAGCACTTACAATGCAATGCTCAATATATATTACATTTTAAAGGGACATAACTTCCTTAAAAATAATTGTACACTTGAGAGTGCTTACATGTACACTGTATCATGTGTAATTTTCTATATTAAAAATTTACATTCCCAAGGGCCATAACTCCCTTTAAAATATTTGATCAGTACATTGCTCATATAACATGTTGTATTAACTTATATATATTTCATAACAATCTGGCAAGAATTGTAGGTGGGAGAGCACTTACAAGACCAAACATGTATTTCTTTGTCAGGCACACCACACTGCAAGACGATGTTAGAAAATTATATGTAATTCAACTTCCTATCAATGTTTCTCTTGCAGATACCATCATTTTTGTTTGTAGCTCACTGAAAAAATAGACGAAATATACATTTGTACCAAAGCGATTATAAAATATCGTAAGTTGATAACTTTATAGAATAGAAATTATGGAAAAGACAACTCCAGGGCAAAAAAGAAATACAACTAAGACAAAAGTCTAAAAACACATATAGCAAACTCAACTATATCTGGACTGAGCAACTATAACCCCACTTAAAATTTGGGGTGATCTCATGTGCTTATGAAGCGTAAGCATATTCTGCTCCATTTTCAGCACCTGTCTAATTACTCATGATACACGTAAATGCAAATTCAATTATCATTGATAATTAAATCTGATTCAAATAAGTCACACTGACGAAAATTGTGACTACTACAATTGGAACATTTTGTGACACCAGATATTTCATATTCCATATAAACAAGTCATCTAAATAAAGATGCTGTCCTCAAAACTTTGGTTTTTTTTTTTGTGGTCTGTTTTTCTTAAATAAATATGGCATGAATTGCAAGATAACATGTTTACTCAGCCATGACAGCTTCAAAATCTCTTGTGAACGTTGAAATTAATGATACATTTATCTGAGACAATCATTTAAGATACCCTTTAAAAAATAAAATTCCCAAGGCAAATATACATGTAATTTTTAATACAGATCATCAATCTTCACCTTATTCAATCTTTTAAATGTTGACAAGGTTAACAAGGATGATAAGGGCAACAAGTTGACAAATGAAAATGGTCGACAGGACAGCAGGTTGACAAGTCAACATGTCACAACAACAGGGTGTTTTAAAAAATGTTATGTTCTGCTTCTTCTAAATCCACAGGTTTAAATTTGGCATTTTCTTCTCCTTCTCGATACATAGGATGATTAAAATATTGGTATTTGCAGCCTCTTCATTAAGCACATACATGTACATGACATATAATTAAGGAGACAGAGTTTGAGCAATGAAAACAAGACTCAACTCAAGTACAAAATGCTATTTGCTGTAAATTACAAATGCATTTGTTTAATATTTGTTTCGGCTTTTAAGCTTGTTTTGGGGTTTTCGAGACAAGTGTCAACCTGTAAATCATATCAACCAGTTAACCATTAACCTGTCAACCTGTTAGTCATGTCAACCTGTCAACCATATCAACCTGTCAAATATGTTAACCTGTTGATCCTGTCAACTTGATAACAAGTTGACTTAATCCATACGATGCAGTCCGGTAATTCCGCCCACATAAGGCTTTGATCGTATGTATTTCAGCTTAATTATATACAAATTGTATTAAATTTAATATAAATCTATTCACTGACAACCATGACAACTCAATTTTGAGAAGTTTATCTCATTTCCCCAAAAATATCTGAAATAAAACAAGTGGGTCACGTGTGTTTTTATTGGAAATGTGTTTGTCTGGTAAATACGCCCATGCGCAGTAAATGTGTATGTAGGGCCAGTTTATCACATAATTACGAAAGGAAAGTGGTGATTTATTAATAGGCCGCTTGTACATATTGTGTACATGGTGCACAGGGATTCCAGACAATACAAAAAAAATAAATTTCAAGTCAGAAATGAATTTTTTAAGCAATAATATGATTATCATTAGCTTAGGAACTGTACTATAGATATCACTCGATATTTTCTTAAGGATTTTTCTTTAAAAGTTGACATGCAGTACAGTTCCTATGAATAAAATAGAAGACGAAATATTCACGGAAGTGACAATTTCGGAAGTAACTGGGAGTGGGCGGGTTTACCGGACGGGCAGAATTACCGGACACTACTGTAAAACAATAAGAAACCTGTCAACCTAAAACAGTATTCATAATGCAGTTAAAACCCAAATCACACCTTTAAGAACTGAATCACTCCTTCATCCTTCATAAGGAACTAAATGTATACTCCACTTGAACCAAAGATACATGTAAGTGGTCCTTCCCTAACATTATTTATATTATAAACTGTTAAATTGGCGGGTAAACGACCAAGATTCGTTCAATCAGTATCTGTATGATTGGGCTACCCGGGCAACACAATAAGCTCTTACCTTCAAGTCCCGATAGCTTAACGAAACTCGGGGCTTTAACTTACAATAACTACCGATGATTAGTCAATCTGCAGTCAAATCCGTTTAACAGTTTAATAAATTATTTTCCAAGAAAGACTCTGTCGTGACTCACCGTTGGTGACTTGATTTATTCTATCCCTCTATTTCAGTTGCGATATCGATTGTGCTGATTGATATTCTGCTATGTATGAAAGCTAGTTTGGGGTTACTATAGACTCCTTGTCATTTTTTTTCCTTTCCAAAAGAACTTTAATTAAAAATCTTATAAATATTTCCCAAAATGAAACTAGATACATCCGATATCCATGCGCATGACATTTATGTAAATTAGCCATATGCTCCTCAAATGTTACACTAAAGTCCGAATCAAGTACCTTCGCCGCGGAAAGTATCCCTTAAAAAGACAGGCGTAACGTATATTATGAAAACAAGTTCATCTGGTTAATGATGATCAATGATGAACGAGAATATGTGTAAAAGTAGGTTCGCGATGGGTTAAAATTGGCCCCAAATTGGGGGGGGGGGGGGGGGGGGTCAAGCTAGTGTTACACGTATGAAATGTTTTCGATATAACCACAAGGATTTATATATATAGTAATAGTATACTATATTAATCCTTGATACAAACTTTTTTTCTGTTTGGCACATCACATTATACATTATGAAGTAAAGACATCTTATTTATGCAGAATGTATGTTGTAACGTCAGTTCTGGTCCCATTTCTCTACTAACAGTTTTTGAAAAAGTAACCGGCATTGACAGCAATCCCCGATACAGAAAATTGTTTCCAGGGATTCAGTATAAACCTTATCACCTTTTGGTTACAGACAATGTTGGATCTTAAGTTGTGGCCAAGCTTTTCCTGAAGCTTTTAGGTACGAAAAATGCCATAAATCATCATTTAGATAATTCATCCAATGCAATGACTTTGGAGCCTCTAATGCACTTAATTTCATGAATAGATTAAAGTTGAAATTCATAGCCAAATTTGAATTCGGCAAACGTGAACCTTGTCCTTTCGGTCCGGTACTAAGTATATGTCAATGTTCCACGACCTTTATTTCCATGGTAAGTAAGTTCATGAAGCACAGGAAAATTTTCCTATAAAATGAGTCCATTGCCTGTCAAAATGTTTGTAACTTATTTTCCTAGAACTGTCAAGATCCTTTGAAACATGTTCTGGTAAAAAGCGGAATATGCATTAGTTTGGTGCTTTCTCTTTACCTGGGAGGCAAAGTCTGGTTAACTGTTTAAAAAAAAACAGTTTTCCTAGTAATAAAAGTCCGTGTTACCAATTTACTGGAAAAAGCCCCTTTGCAACGTCATTTTATTAAGAAACTCGTTTATAAAAATAAGATGTGGTATGATGAAATCTGGCATAATTGCCAATGAGACAATTCTTCTCAAAATACCAATTCAAATGATATAGAAGTAAGAAACGATAGGTCACCGTACAGCCTTCCACAATGAGAAAAAAGTTTTTTTTTCAATACTTATCAAATTGCTCTCTGAAAATGAATTAAAAAAAAAATTACAAGTAAGACAGTCTAGTACTCTAGCTAAAAACTGTTTGTTATGCATTTTGCTAGTCAATCTTTGATATTATTTTAAATTAGTATGAGGAATACTTAAATATGGATACAATAATGAAACGCAAGTTTCGTAGTTATAAATATAATGACAGTCCCTTTTATCAATTATGGTAGGAATTAAAATAAGTCCCGTATAATTCTAAAAAATAGACATAATTTGTGGTTATAATGAAATAGTAATGAACACCTTCCAAAACATTCAATCATTTCAATAAAAATCACTCCTTGTGTACATCTTAACATGTTGTTTTTTTCGAATAAATTGCTTGATTCTAAATTTCATTAGAACAAAATTGCTTCAGAATGGAAGTGAAAAAACCCAGTTTGTTTTAATTAAGAATTGAGGGAAGATAAATAAAAATTGTATTTCAAAAAAAAATGTATTTCTGTTTGTTATTGAAAGCAATAGTTTGTTTTTGAATAAACAGAAAAAAATGTTTGTCCCAAGAAAATAAATACCCTACTCCCCCGGCTTAATCACATAAGATGAATGATTGGTGCCTAATATGAATCGGATCTGAATCTACTAGGAGATAGCTAGTTTTTCTGGCTTTCTCTACCAATAATAACCACCATGACAAAGCCAACCCTGGAAGTGGCATTAAACAGCAACTATCAATCAATCATAAACTTCTTTGAAAAATTTTGATGTATGTACAAAATTTATACTGCCACCTGGTTGAAGTTTGCACTGAATTTAATGACTTTTGCCTTGTGAACATCTATAGCATATGCTTCAATGTAAGAGTTAATATACGCTTATTTGAGAACAACCTGCACAATCTAAACTTTATCTCTTTTGGTTGGAGCCTCTAGTTTTCCTGAAAATTTGACAAATTCTTTCCTTTAGTATTATCAGTCGTCTGATCAGTATTCCGAAGAATTGTTAATTCAATCAGGTGGCAGCATACATTTTGTAGTGCCGTTAAAATTGACTTCTCAAATATGATTTTACATAAATCAAAATTAAAAAAAATGCAAATTGACAAAATAACATGCGTTTTCTCATGTTCAGAGTACAACTTAAATACGAAATACTGGTTTTAATTGATATCTATTCTAGAAAAAGCTGTAAAACAGGTATTTTACAATTCAAATCAGTTACATATTTTTAGAACAGTTTTTTTTTTTAATTTGAAATATGACATCACTACTGATATCGGCGTTTCAAATCTAAAACGGCAGTAACAATTCATGGACTTCATAACAAGTTCAAATTGACCATATAAGCAAGCTTTGAAGAAACCAAAATTGCTCTGGTATGCAGACACAAAAAAAAAGGCTTTTTCGTTGGCTATGGAAAACAAAAATGCATCGACAGCATTATAAACTGAAATTTTGTAAAAATAAAGATTTAATATGCATACGATCTTACAGAAAGGCTTATTAGAAACTTATTCAATTGATTATAAAATGCGAAAGCATATTTTAGAATGGACGACAAAAGAAAAATGAATACTCTTTAATTTTTTAAACCTTTATCATAATTTTAACATAAATCATCGGCCAAATGTCTGTTTACTTTCAGATGAGAAAATGATAAAGGATATTTCAATGGCAATCATACCACATCTCCTTTTCAGCTTTCTTGAACCAAAGAGTCGCGTGAGCTTTTTTAATAACTTAGCGTCCGTCGTCCGTCGTCCGTCCTTCGTTAACTTTTACAAAAATCTTCTCTGAAACTACTGAGCCAATATGAACCAAACATGACCACAATCATCCTTGAAGTATCTAGTTTTAAAAAAATGTGTTAGATGACCCTGTCGGTCAACCAACATGACTATAAAGGCTAAAACGAAAACCGACCAAAAGACAAACAACAGTTCCAAAAAAAAAACAACAGTCAATCTTGAACGTATTAATCAAAAGTGAACCAAAGAACACTCGCAATTACTAAAATCAAGCTATATGTCTGGTTTTATAGCGATTTAGTGTCGCTGTCTTATTGCTTTAACACGTAGTTCATAGATAACTCCCCCACATGTTAATATCCCTCTGCAAAGTTAGGAACCTCAGTTGTTGTCATTGTTTATGTTTCATTGTCATCTGTCCTTTTAAATTTGTTGTTGATGGCAAATATCATAAGTTTATATTGCTGTCTCTTTTGAGATAACCTGGTCCATAGGACTTGTGCAAGCTATTCGCAGAACTTTATGCAATGCGCCAAGCCGTCTTATACGTCATCCGTTATTCGCTTGTAAGTTTAAAAATCTTGCTCCCTAAAAAGAGTCAATTGAAACAATATAGCCATCTAACTTTCTTCAAAGGGACTTAAGGCATGGACCCCTTTTCTCTTACCCTTTTTTGTGTTTGAATTTTTATTTTCGTTTATACATATTAAAAGAGAGGCGAAAGATACCAAAAGGGACATTCAAACTCATAAGTCGAAAATAAACTGACAACGCCATGACTAAAAAAGAAAAAGACAAACACACAAACAACGGTACACAAAACACAACATAGAAAACTAAAGACTGAACAACACGAACCCCATCAAAACCTGGGGGTGATTTCCGGTGCTCCGGGAGGGTAAGCTCCACATGTGGAACCCGTCGTGTTGCTCATGTAAGTATATGTTAAGTCAAGATATGAGGCAGAATTAACTGTATCTCTTGTATCCTTTATCTCAAGTTCGATGGGATAGATGCGTCCAACATGGTTACAAAATTTTGAATTATTTAGTGAGAGAATAACATCTATATATATTAATTGAAGTTAAAGGAAAGTACTAACTTCTTTTCTATCTTCCTAAGAAGTTCCTGTATAAAGTCAGAATCAGGAATAATGTCAGTTACAGAGAATTTTTTGTTAGAGTCAGAGTGATTTTTAACAAAGTACGATTTGTCCCTCCCTCTGACAAGATAATCGTTGTATCTACGTTGGCCCTTTTTTTTATAAAACAAAGCAGGACCAACTCTTTCAACCTAAAATTGAGAATGGAAACGGGTAATGTGTCAAAGAGACAACAAAACGACCAAAGAGCAGAAAACAGCCCAAGACCACCAATGGGTCTTCAACACAGCGAGAAAATTCCACACCCGGAGGCGGCTTCAGCTGGCCCCTAAACAAAAATGTGTACTAGTTCAGCGAAAATGGACGTCACACTAAATTCAAAAACATATATATAAATGAACCCCAAAAAAACATACGAGACTAACAAAGGCTAGAGGTGCCTGACTTGGGATAGGCGCAATAATGTGGCGGGGTTAAACATGTTTTGTGAGATCTCAACCCTCCCCTATACTTCTAGCCAATGTAGAATAAACAAACACACAGCAATACGCGCAGTAAAATTTAGTTTAAAAGAAGTCCGAGTCCGTTGTTAGAATAGGTAACAGAAGAAACTAAGCAAAATGACAATGATCAACATAAATTAACAAAGGACTACTAGTAGTTACTGACATGCCAGCTCCAGACCTCAATTAAACTGATTGAACGATTATGTCTTCATCATATGAAAATCAAGTATCATACCATCATAAAATATACGAGAAGAAAATAACCCGTATCAATTTGTCTTTTAGTTTGGAATGGGGAATACTTGTTTAAAGTGTAGTCAAATGTTTTAATACTATTGCAAGACGGAAGAGTCTTAGATTGTATGTATTCTAAAAGATCTTTGGAATTTTTTAGTATCCACTTCTGATTCACGCCACCTCTAGAACAGGTAGTTTCACAACAACTTTGTAGCCCGGCTTTGATTGCTGATAAAAT